CAGATGATTTATTATGTCCTGATACATAAAACCATAGAACTCAAAGAGGGTGTGCTTTCTTTTTCACACAACTGTATCTTTTGAATGATGTGTAAATGTGGTATATCTCTATGTTCCTACTGATAGCTGATTTGTCTGAATGCCAAACTTCCAGGAATTCCCTAGCATTTTTTAATTTGGCTTGGTCTAAAATGCTAATAGTATCCCAATTGAAACTGTGGTTGAGTCTGTCCATGTGTTGTGAGATTAAGGAGATTTTGTCATGACTTCTGATTGCTAGTTGGTATTTATGGATGTGCTCTGCTAGTCTTCTACCTGTCTGTCCTACATAGAGGCTGTTACAGTTCTTCCATTGTTGTAGGACTGTTGTAGATGATTTCTGTTTTTTCTTCTTGGGCTAGTGAGTCTTTTGGTTTGCTTAAGATGTTTTAGAGGGCTTTAGTTTGTGTGCTACAGTGATCCTGTGTGGTTGTAGTAGTCTTTTGGTTGTTTCTGAGATGTTTTTGATGTATGGGAGTGTTATCCCTTTCATAGGTTGTATTGGTTGTGCTGCATGTGGTCAAGTGTTTTTTTTATAAAGTTGCATGGCCATCCATTTTGTTGGCAGATGTTGTAAAGGTGGTCTATTTCCTCTTCTTGGCATTTTGATTTGCAGCAGTGTGTTTCTTCTCATCTGAACAATGTTAATAACCCAACCTCCCACAAGAGGAGCTGCATAACCACACTGACCAAAAGTGGCAGGGCAAGCTGCTACATATAAACAGGCAACAAATCCCACACACACACTAGCACTGATAATATTATCTAGTTGGGTGATGAAACATCTGCCAACAAACAACCAAGCTCAGAGAGCAGCAAGAACTCCACAATTCAACCCTAAACTACAGATATTCTCTTCTATTCTGAGAATAGAATGTGTGTCAAACACTTCAGAAAGCATGCAAATGGGAGAAATTTCCATGTAGACAAACCTCCACCAAGGAACACTTGCACAGATGATGTTACCTAGTTGGGTAATAAAACATCTGCAAGCAAACAACCAAGTTCAGAGAGCACCAAGAACTCCACAATTCAACTCTGAGCTACAGATATTATCTTCTATTGAAACAGTTCTAATAGCTTTCCTCCAAATAAAAGTGCTTTCCCATCTCCCATCATTCTTGACTGCAGTTATGGCTAAATACTAAGAGAAAAATAATAGCGACTAGTAAGTAGTGGCATGTCATCCTTCTATATTTATCCTCTTCTAATGGAAGGAGTGCAGAATTATTCATGGATGGCTCTACATGTCCACAACTCTCCACTCTTCTCTCAACTCCTCCACAGCTACCAAAGCAATTTCTGCCTATTCCTGCAGCTGGGCAAAGGTTTGCCTTGGATCATAAGGGACAATACACATTTGCCATGCTTAGAATTCTTAAACCAGGCTTTAAGAAGCTGTACAGAAAATCAAGAAATGGAGTAAGACATAATTTTGGATTCAGAACACATTCTTTGAAGAATTTCAGCTTTTGTTTTTGAAACAAAAGTTTCTGGCTCTTATGAACAAAAAGATAATCTTTCTAAGTGTGCTGGGAAGGTCTTGAGAAATCTCAAGCAGACCACAAGGATTAGCTAGTTGTAGAAAAATGTTGATATCTGAATGTTTTGCAGAGCAAAATCATAGCTAAAAAAACCCAGAAAAAAATTATCACAGAGTACACTTCTTAGGGCTCTACATAAGATAGAACAGGGAACACTTTCTGCAGCTATGAAAAGAAGTAGATTCACCATTGAACTAGTGCACTTTAACTAGCACTGAACTAATTCAGCATTAAATGAGACAGGATACATTTGCCATTTAAAACTGTCTCAAGCAAAGCTGTTCTGCTAAATAAAATCAGTTGAAGCAGTCTAATAGCTTTCATCCTGCATTTTGATACCAAATTCCCTTTCTCTATTTCAGCTTTTGAAAAAAGATCTTCCATGACCAGTTGCCTTCAGCCTGTCATCTTTTGTATTTCCTAGAAATGTACTCCCCCAACATTTCAGAACCATTTAGTTTGACACAATTACTTACTACATACTTTTTTATGGATGCTGTACCATTTCATGTTTATATTCTTCTTCCAAAATACTAATACACTCTTAGGAACAGCCCCTTTTATGTCAAAGGACATCAATAAGGCCAAAAAAGTATAGTATCCTAGATCTGATAAAATCATTTTAGACTGTTTAGCCTATTTACTGGATGGCAGATTGCATCTGACTAAATATTACATGTCATGTAAATTTGTCCAATTTTGATTTTGCAAGACAAGACTCTGTTTAGCTATCTTTGCGCAGCTATATTCACAACTTTAAAAAAATCTCATTTGTAAAACAACATAATGCTTGTACATAACATCTAGATTAAAACAAATAGGAGCAAAGGGTTTTAAGGTGAAGTTTGCTTTTCATGGTTGTATGCCTTCTTTCAGAATATATCACCCATTCCTTTTCTCAGCTCTCTCCCCCAAATTAACCAGCATTCCATGTCTGTGAGTATGTTCATTCCTTTTTCTTTATTGGGTATTTCTACCTCTGCTTTTTTTTCCTAAGGTCTTTCACAATTAAACAATCCAGAGTCATTGGATGCTAAATTTATGGCTTTTGAAAAAATGATGGAAGAAAGATCGGATAAGATGGATATTTTTGTAAAACAAATGTCTGCAGTTATGAAACAAATGTCTGGAGAAATAAAACAAACAAATGATAGAATGGAAACCTTAGAAAACAAATCAGGAATTAGAGATACAGAATTTGAAAGAGGAATGGATAATTTGGCTCTGCTGAAACTTAGAAAGAATTCTATTTGAGATTTAGAGCCATTCCAGAGGTTCCAGATGAAGATATTAGGAGAAAGATGGTACACACATTGTCAGATTTTTTAGACTGGGAAGAGGATGAGATCAGAGAGAAGATCGACAAAGTGTATCAGATTAATTCACGTTTTGCTACAATAAGACATGTGCCAAGAGATGTTTTACTGCATTTTGTAAGGAGAAGGACAAGACATCAAGTTCTGCAACAGCATTTTAATTCAAGATTGAAAATTGATAATGCAGATATAATTATTTTAAAGGAAAATGCCTATTAGAATTTTAGAAAAGATTTTTTTTGACTTCAGAAAATTTTTTTTTGACTTCAGAAAAGATTTTTTTTGACTGAGGTATTAAAGTAGAAGATCCCATTCTGTTGGGAGAAGTTAGAAGGTGTAATTTTTACTTTCCAACAGAGATTTCAACTGAATACCATTCAAAAGGCCAGGAAATTTTTTTGGAAAAATTTAAAGGAGACTTGAAGGAGGTTCAAATGGAAATTGCAGAGAAAACTGACCAAAAATTACAACAGACAGAGAAGCTTGAAAAAGACGACTTGGAGTTAGGTACCCCCCTTTTTTTTCCTAAGGGCTTTCACAGGTAAACAAACACAGAGGTCCTTCAAAACTCCTATTCAAGATGATGTCATTTTAACCATATAACAAATCTATACTTGAAGACTGAATCTGTTTTTTTTTTTCATTTAACGAAGACAAAACCCAACTGATGGGCTGCATTAAAATGTAAACATCTGTAAACACAGATCTCGTATGTCAGTATTATTAAGCATGAAAAAGTAAGCAACTACTGAACAGAAGACAACAGTAGTCTAGAAAATGTAATAGGAGTACTGGCGGCAGCTCATTCTATTCATCACAGTGTGTAATGATAGGGAGACACAATGTCATTATGCAATGAAACATGAACATGGCTATGTATGATTTTGTTTTTATACAGTACATCCTCCTCCCACAAGCCTCTCTCATGTGCCACATCACAATCTGGCATGGATTGGAAAAGGAAAAGCAGCCAAAACCATTCTGGGGCAACATAATGAGCAGAGTTGGGTTTCAAATCCACATTTATCCATAGAGTGCCTAGAGAGCTTTAGTAAAGCTTACCTTATATAAGAGCACAGTTGCTGTTACATTATAAAGACAACCAATGAAGTGTTTCCTACTGTTCCTTGTAAGAAGTGAGTGATATAAATGTGGTAGTTCCATCAGAATAATCAATACAATCTTGGGCTGAGAAAATCTAGTCTCTATAGCACAGATAAAGGAAAGGCCAGTCATAAAAATGTTTTTTATATTTAAGACTGCCAATATGGGTGGAGCCCTTGGTGCTCTCTGAGCTTGGTTGTTTGCTTACAGACACCTCATTACCCAACAAGATAACATCATTAGTGCAAGTGAGTGTGGGGTTTGCTCCCTGCTTAAACATAATAGCTTGCCTTACCAATGTTGTGGGGAGGGGGGGTTCTCCTTGGTAGTTCCTTGATTAGGATATTGTTTTTCTGCTTGATTGTTTGTCTGGTGTTAACCCCTCCTTATGTGAGTGTTGACTGCTGGAGGGGAATGAAATGCCAATACATTTTGGAGAAAGAAACAACATATGAACAAACAAGACTTAATAAGCTCATTTCATTTCTATTCATACCTTAGTTTGAATAAGTGCTTTACAAGTGGTAAGGTTGAATTTATCAACACCAGAATCTTCATTTTCTCTGTTAGTTTTTTCCAAAATACTGTCCTTAAATTCTGGAAGAGCCTAGTAAACAAGAATCATCATATAAAGAGCTTTATTGTAAAATGCATTCGGTAAATTATTTTGATACTAGACTGATCCTATATTGGGCACTATAAGCTAGAATCTTCAAGCTGAAGTACTGCTATTGTGAATTTCACAATGTTGTAAAGCACGGGCAGGAAATATACAGACAGTTGCAACATTGGGAAGTACAGAAAATTACATGAGCTGCCAAAAAGGGGAAGCCAGTTTGGTGTAGTGGCTAAATGCTGGACTAGAAACCAGGAGGTGATGAGTTTTTGTCCTCCCTTAGGCATGAAAGCCAACTGAATGACTCTGGGCCAGTCTCTCAGCCCAACCCACCTCAAAAAATTGTTGTTGTGGGGAAAAGAGGCAGCATGAGCATTATATATGTTCAATGCCTTGAGCTGACCAAAAACCAAGGTGAGATAAAAATCTAATAATAAATAAAATAAATAAAAATGTAGCATATATATGCTCCAACTCTAGCAGGTTAAAACAATACAACAATATTCAATAATCATGAATGCTACTGCACCAAGGAAAATATTATCTGATGTAAACAACCACATCTGCAGGTAGATGATATCCACTTCATTTCCCAGTAGCTTCCTAGAACAACCTGATTTTAATTACCTTCCTAAATTCCAAAAGTACTGGAGTTGCTCTAAACCTGTGGAGAATGCTATTGCATGGTATAGGGGCAGCAACAGAAAAGGTCTGTTTTGGGGCCCTGACAGTAATACTCTATAGGAGTAGAGACTGAAAGAGAGCCCTCTGTGATTTTACGGGATAGGCAGATACCATTGGGAGCAGGTAGTCCCAACGATATCCAGCTCCTGAGACATATAAAGCTTTACAGATGACAACCAGCACCTTTAAAAGCACTTGAAAGTCCACTAGTAGACCTCTGAAAATAGGGTGTTACATGGACAAAGCCTTATTACTATCTTTAAACATCATTTGAACATTATACATTCCATGTATCTCTTCACTGAACATTAAATGAGGAGGAGGGAGAGACTGCTATACAACCATGAACAAGGGCAAAAATCAGTTTAAGAAAGAATAAATTTCCTTAGCTTTTAGAAGAGTTTTTTTTATTTATTTACTAGCCCTCTCCATTTGTTGCTTGGGGTATTAGATCATACAATTTCCATTTCATTAGGGTCCAAATTATGCATTAGTTTTTATACATAATTTTAGAAAGAAGAGTATTGTATACAGACTCAGAGTGATTCTATGAGAAGAGGTCTGAGACCTTTCATCTTCCACCCAATAGGCTTAGCTATGCCACCACACAGTTCAGTAAATAACATGAGCTGCCTAGACTCCACATTTTCTGAGAAAAACACAAAGCTCCTATCCCCACCCATCATTTTTTATCCTCTCCTATAGATCTACAACAAAATATCATATCAGATCTACAACAAAAAATGCCCTTTTTTGCCATTTTCTATATATAAACAATTACAAATCACGCTTTTTTGAATGGGTAGGACTTTTTTTAGCTTTGCATTTAATATTTGTCTAATTGATTCACAGAATGATAGAAGATAGAAGAACAGGTATTATAATATAACTCTATAGGTGAGCAATTCTTTTAAAAACATTAAATGAATGTATTGCAGTAATTTTATATATAGAGGCACACAAGTTCATATCAACAATCCAATATTTCTAGTAAAGTATGATAAAACAGACTTATACAATATACCATAATCTAACCAATCCATAAAATCATTACATACCCCAAAATAGCTTTGAGCAATGATAACTATTATAGTATATAATGGCAAATGCTCAAATATTTGAAAGAAATCTGTTAACCATATATAAAACCAAACAAGTTTATAGAGATCAGGAAAATATTTGGATATTTTAAATTTTTAATTCAAATATCTGTACTAATTAAGATTGCTTTACATTATTAAACTTAATTGCTGGAGCACTTTCCAAAGTGCTGAAAGATTAATCTTTCTGGGTTTGCAATGCTTCTGGTATCTTCATAAAATTAAAATCTTATGTATAATGAACCATTTATGTGTATGTTCTAACTACCTGTACATATGTACAATACCTCCATCTAAAAAAGATATTAATCTGTAATAGTGTAAATGTTGTACTTTTAAAGAATAATGCACAACTGAGCTCTTACCAAACTATCAACAAATTCCTTTAAAACCTATTCCTTTAAAAACAGCAAAAAGCCTGATATGAACTTTCATGCTTCAGTTCTGTAAATCTATGGAGATATACATAAGGGATTTTCTAACAAGTGAAATGTGAAGGTTCAGTTGAAGTGTAGCCTTATAGCATAGTATATATTAAGATTAAATACAAATACCACTAATATTCTAGAAAATATTACTGAACACTACCTTTTGATTAGCATCAATTCCAAGCACAGCTAAAAGATTTTCTTGACAATGAGATTCATTCCGATGGCATCTTAAACCAGAAGGGCTATTGCAGTGAGTAAGAGTTTTCCATAAATTTGCTGAGTCAATGCTTTAAAGGAAATACAGTTCAGATTAATGCAAGGTAAACATAAGCTGTTTTTCTTGCTTACATTTCAGATCAACTCCATAAAGATAGCAAACATATTACTTAAGCTTAGTTACATATTGGGTATATGAACTCTTACTAAACAGAAGACACAGACCAATTGATTAAATCAAAAGGCTATCAATTTGTGAAAGTAAGCTTGACATTTCATTCTATACTGCTTAAAAAATAATCAGGCATAAAGCCCCTTTTCCAACAAATTCAGTTGTATGAAGGGATGTAAGATTCTGCAATGCAGAATTCTTAGAAATCTTGGGAAAGCTAAGACAAAGTAACATAAAACCAATACAAATTAACCAAATATAAATTTATTTTGGTTTACTGCATCTTAGAAAATATTCTTGATGTCATACAGTCCCAATAAATCAATGGATATATATATTAAAAAACCCATCTCACCCCTATGGGTGGTATGTGTCTTCCTCAATCTTGGGTCTTCTACCAGAATCCTGGGAGTTTGAGGGTTCTGCGCAGTATCTTGGCTGTTCCTAGCACTGCACTCTTCTGGACAGAGAACTCCAATGTTGTTCCTGGGATCTGTTGGAGCCACTCTCCCAGCTTAGGAGTCACACCCCCAAGTGCTCCTACCACCACTGGGACCACTTTGGCCCTTACTTTCCACATCCTCTCTAGTTCTTCCTTCAAGCCCTGGTATTTATCCAGCTTCTCATATTCCTTCTTCCTGATGTTGCTGTCACTTGGCACCACTACATCTATTACCACTGCTGTCTTCTGGTCCTTCTCTACTACCACAATGTCTGGTTGATTGGCCAGTACCTGTCTGTCCATCTGGATCTGGAAGTCCCACAGGATCTCCCCCGTTATTCTCCATGACTTTCTGTAGAATTTCCCATCTAGACTTGGGAAC